CCAGGAGGGAGGGGCCAGAACACCAGCCTTCCCTGTGGCTGGGGGCAGTGACTCACAGGTAGTTACCTGTCCTGGGCTCCCTGCCAGCCCTGCCAGCCAAGGGAGCCCACCGCAGGGGAGGCATTTAGAGCTACTCTGTTCATTCCTCTTAAGCTCTCCTTGGGCGGGCTGAGCTTTGACCCTTTCCTGATGAACTGTTGCCTTTTAAGGAGCCTCCAAATTCCCCAAGAAGCTGGGGATTTCCACCTTTTTTTTTCCCTCAGGAGAGGCCTGGTGCTTTCCAGGGTTCTGTATGTTTATGTCTTCTCACCTTCCAGCCCAGTGACATGTTCAGGGCTTTCATACTCAATATGCTAGCTCTGAACTTTGTGTTTCCTGCCTAGTCTTCTGTCCAGGGTGGTCCAGCACACAAGAGAAAGCTGAGCTCTACCGGCCTGGAGAAAGTACCAAGCACAGTGCCTGGCACAAACGTGAGAGCACTGACCATGCCAGAAATCCTGTCTTCTCATGGCCACCAACATCTGTCCGGCGCTTCCAGCATACGGTGCCCCCTCCAGCCTCCTGGCACCCACAGACAGGTGAGCACCACAGAGCTTGCTGTGAGGTTGCTGGGACCAACCCACTTGCCTGGTCCTGTCCTGCGGGGTGGGGGTTCAGTGACGACAGAGGGCGTGACGTGACGGCTGCCAGATTCCTGAGCCCTGCCCTGCAGTGGGCTACGCCCAGCCAGGGAGTCTTAGAGGTGAGACTGCTGTTTAAAAACTTGGAGCCAGGAGAGGAAACCCCCACATTCAGGGGGTGCTCTCACAGAGGCAATCTGGAGAAAGAACAGCAAGCAGCACGGAACAAGGTAGGTTACCTGCCTTCACCTTCCCGGGGGGTGGAGGGGCCCCGGGTGAAGAAGGAGGGCCATATCGCAGGGTGCCTGGCCTCCATCTCAGACAGGGCCGATTCATTCCTCTCCCTGAGAGCTCACCTGAGTAAGTTCACCTCCACAAGCCAGGTTAAAATGTCTGATACTGTTTGGATTGCTTTTTCACATCTGATAAGTGTCCCGATGACTTAGATGAAAGCAGGTTTAGATTTGGGGTTGAGCACAAAAGAGAAGTGGAAAGGGTGGGCTAGCCTGGCTCAGAAAGCCTAGTTTCAGGTGGACTTCCTGGGGGATGGGAGAGCAGAGGGAGCCCTGGACGAAAATCTCTCCTAGGCCATCATTAATCTTGAGACTCCAGGTTACAGGTCCCCTCCCGACTCTCCTAGTAGGGGATTAGAAAGAAAAAGTTTGAAGCATTGGGACTCATGACTTAAAGGTGCCAGGTGTTCCCCCACTTTCCCCCTACCCCTGCCTTGCCAACCCTCCAATCCCTCCACCCCAGCCAAAGGACCGTGAGGCTATCAGAGCAGAGCGAGCGTCCCATCCAAGGTGCTGCACGAACAAGGATGGGGCATGCCTTGACAAGGCAGGCATGCCTCTTGGACCCCACAGCGACTTTCAAATACCCATCCACAGCCTCCTTTGAATCCCTGCTTTGTGTCCTCCCAGCCTCTCCCTTGTCCTTTAGCTCCAGTCCCTAGCTGGAGACATTGGGGACTGCTTCCAGTTCAGATGAGATCCTCACTCACTTTTTAAAAAAGTCTGCCAGGCCCTCCTCACTCCCTGTTGCATCCCAACCATCTGCTTAGTTTAGGTTTGTGGCCACCACTGCCTCAAACTCAGAGTGGCCCTGTGTGGTCTTGGAGACCATGCCAGTGGCAGGAGTGGGCTTGCCTCCAGGCCCTCAGGCACTTTGACACTTTCACCTTTGGGCCTGTGGGCTGAGTTGGGTTGAGGCTATAGGTTCAGGCCCTGAGAGAAGCCAGTGCACACTCTTGGGGAAGGAATAAGGCCTGGACCTCCCTGCACCCTTCTCCTTTAAATGGCTCTACCCCTTCCAGCTCTCTGTGTTATCCTTATGGCCATGTGGGGTAGGGCAGTGTCAGTCTTCTCTCCATCCATTTCAGAAGAGGAATCCAAAGGCTGGGAGGGGATGGACTTTTTCTAGGGTATCCAGTGAGTCCCATGCCAGCAGGTAGGAATCTAGGGCTCTAGCATTTTCCAAACCTTTGGCTACCAGTGTACCTGCTGCTCAGAAGTGCCCTAGGTCCAGACCCCAAGTAAAGATTTCCCAAAAAAACAAGAGTCCAGAAACAGAAAACAGGCTAGTTTGCTCTTGGGGTTTGCATTATCTCACCCTGGCTGCTTTGCTCTGTCTCAGGTGAGGTCCTCTCTGGGGACCACCCCATTGACTGAAGATGACACCACTTCTTCTCCTGTGTTTTGGTAAGTATCCCTTCCCATCCTTTCAGGCTCTGCTATACAGCTGGGGGGTGACAGCACAGGCAGCAGGAGAGTTTAGGTTGCCAACATGTGAGTGTTACCTGTCACCCTGTAGTGTCTCAGATTTGGAATACTTTGCAGCTGAGGATGGAGATTTTCCCATTCCTTTGGACTTTGAGGAAAAAAAATTCTCTTCTTCTCTTAAAAGGTTACTGTCTTATCTTTTTTATTTTTAAAGTTATTTATTTTGTTTTGGAATACACACATACACATACACGCCTCTACAGGGTCTCTATACCATGATCCTTCTCCTAACCTTCCGGCAAGTCAGGATCATGGATGTGCTTAGACACATGCTTGAGGGCATGCCTGGCATGTTCAAACCGAACGTAGGGACTTCTCCTGTGGCTCCAGCATCACACAGTGGCACCCTTACTCCCTGTACCACCTTGGCTGAGCCTCCTACTGAGGGTGGTTTGAGGTTTTCTGAGTCCCCACACAGTTTATTTCCTATGCTTTTACTCTAAGCCAGCTCCAGAGCCACCAGGGCTTTAGTTCTTGAGTTTCCAGTGAATTGGTGCTGGGCACTCACCAGGTGCAGCTGGGCCAACTTTGCAGATAAAAGAGCAAAGAGAACACAGACCTTTCTCAATGTTCTACAAACGGCTAGGTCATCAACCTTCCTCTGGGCTGCCAGCAAAGGCCTGCTACAGAAGAGACTTGTGTGCCATGTCCTGGTGACTGAGTATGTGTCTCCAGCTTGATTCTAAAAGCCACATTATAGATGCCACATTTTGGGATTACCTGTGGTTTTTAGTTGTTAGTGTTTTTACCTCTCCTTTTCAAATTTAAGTTTATATAATATGAAGTTGGCTTTTGAAATCTAACATTATCTGGATGACAGTCATTACTGCCAGCAGTGCATGGGACTGTAAGAGAAGGAGAGGGTCTAGTCTTGGCAATGTCAGCTCCCCTGAGGGATTCTGGGGTGGCCGACTGGGCCATCTTCTCTCTGGACTGTACCCCAGCACCATTCTGTGATTTCAGCTTTGCCCGGCCTCCTGTGTGCCCAGCAAGCCTGCTCCCGTGGGGCCTGCTATCCTCCTGTTGGGGACCTACTCATTGGGAGGACCCAATTTCTCCGAGCTTCATCCACCTGTGGGCTGACCAAGCCTGAGACCTACTGCACCCACTACGGTGAGGTACGTCCTACGTCTATGACCTCCAGGACCAGAGGAAAGTGGAATGGATGGGGCAGGGCAGATGGGCCTGCCTACACTGAATACTTTGAGTGGACTTGGTGTAGGCCAAGCCCTGTGCACTCCGCTCGATGAGGAAGTCTAAGAAAGGAATAAGGCTGGATCACTACCTCTAAGAGATTTACAAGATGGATGGATAAGAGAAAGTGCCCTCAGAGTTAACTGAATAGCTCATTTCTCTCTTCTGCCGGATAAAGTCAGAGTGTTCTCAACCCTTGGGTATAGACAGGGTAGCTTTTCAAGTCCTGGGAATTGGTAAATAGACAATGTCAACTTTTAGGTGTGTAGTCGAATGTCATTGCAGAGGGCATTCAGGCTGGCGGAGCATGGGTGCTGGAATGTGCTCTGAACTATGTTCTTGCTATGGCATGAACCGTGTTGTGCTATTGTGCTATTGTGCTATTGTCCTTCAGTTGCCACCATCATTTTGGCCAGTCTTGGAGTATGGGTGGAGGCAGAACTAGCAGGAGAATATTTGATTGTAGGCTAGACTGTATCTTTTATGTCTTGCTACTGTTGTGTATAAAGAACCAACTTGCTCATCTCTCAACCTCATTGGTTCACATGTCTTAGTGGCCCAGGCAAGGTGGGCCAGAAAGATGTGTTAGAACATACAGACCTGGGAGATGGCACCCACTACGGTGAGGTACGTCCTACGTCTATGACCTCCAGGACCAGAGGAAAGTGGAATGGATGGGGCAGATGGGCCTGCCTTTTGTACACTGAATACTTTGAGTGGACTTGGTGTAGGCCAAGCCCTGTGCACTCCGCTCGATGAGGAAGTCTAAGAAAGGAATAAGGCTGGATCACTACCTCTAAGAGATTTACAAGATGGATGGATAAGAGAAAGTGCCCTCAGAGTTAACTGAATAGCTCATTTCTCTCTTCTGCCGGATAAAGTCAGAGTGTTCTCAACCCTTGGGTATAGACAGGGTAGCTTTTCAAGTCCTGGGAATTGGTAAATAGACAATGTCAACTTTTAGGTGTGTAGTCGAATGTCATTGCAGAGGGCATTCAGGCTGGCGGAGCATGGGTGCTGGAATGTGCTCTGAACTATGTTCTTGCTATGGCATGAACCGTGTTGTGCTATTGTGCTATTGTGCTATTGTCCTTCAGTTGCCACCATCATTTTGGCCAGTCTTGGAGTATGGGTGGAGGCAGAACTAGCAGGAGAATATTTGATTGTAGGCTAGACTGTATCTTTTATGTCTTGCTACTGTTGTGTATAAAGAACCAACTTGCTCATCTCTCAACCTCATTGGTTCACATGTCTTAGTGGCCCAGGCAAGGTGGGCCAGAAAGATGTGTTAGAACATACAGACCTGGGAGATGGGGGAGGAGGTGACAAGGTTTGCTTTCCATTTCCTCTCCATGAAAGTGGGAACTTCCATTGCTCCTGGCGTTTCCCAAGGTTGAAATCACTGGGTATTTTCTTGTTTTCAAGCTGCCTCATTCAGCCATTTTGCTGCTCTTGAAACAAAGGCTTACACAGGGGATGGATGGGTTTATTCTGAGTCTCTGCAGCATTTGGAGAAAAGAGAGAGAGAGACAGTGAGTGAGTGAGATTGATTGCTAGGAAGGAGACTCGGATTATTTGTCATTTACCCTGTCCTTGCCCTCCGGCCCCTGAAGGTGGTATCTGATATGGCCTTGGTTAAGGCTTCTCTGCACGTCTAGTGTTCTCTTGGCTATGTTTAATCACAGATAATACTGGGCAGTGACTTTGGAAGTGCTGAGCAGAGAAGGCTGTGGTTTCTACATCTCACCTACTTGGACATGGGAAAGCTCGTTAGACGGGGTTGAGTAAGAAGGCCAACATCAGGAGAGTACTCCCTTGGGCCCAGATTACTTCATAAACATCAGGGGACCTGGCAGTATTGAGCTTTCTAGGCAATAGTCATTTTAGCTGCCCTCGTCCCACATACCCCAAAATCATATGCTGACAATTTTTGGGAGGTACCTGCTGATTTCCTTCCTTAGAGTGTCTCACCTTCTGAGTGGAGAAGTAAGGAGAGATCAGATGTGCCTGGACTGGGATGCACTTTGCTCCCAGCTGTGTCTGAACAGCCTCTGTCCCTCAGCCTGGCACTTCATCCTGGCCCACTCTGTCCCTCTCAGATATCCCAGGGAGCCAATAGCCTTCCCTGCTCATAAACAGCCCCCTGAGAGCAAAACAGAGTTCTTACAAAAGAAAGTCTAGACTCTTGCAATTTTTGGGATGGATCTATTTCAGCTATTTTTCTGCCATGAAAGCTGAGAAAACTGGCTCATCTTTTCTTTTTGTAAGGGGGCAATAAACTCATGTGGCCTCTTGGACAAGGCAAAGGATGGGAACATCTTGAAGGTGATGTGTAGTTTCAAGTCTGCCACTAACTTGTGGTATAATCCATCTAAATCTCATTCTTTTCTTCCATAAGTGTTAGATGAGATGGTCTTTAGGGTCCCTCTTTGGTTCCAACATTTTTTGGGAAAGAGCTGACTATCTACAACCAGCCTCTGTCTATAACCATAGGCATCTGTGCCTCTGCCTTCTGCCCCTCTGTCTTGTTTAATTTTCCTTCTCCTCTCTCTTATGTGCTTTCCCCTCTCAGAGGCTATTTGTTCCAGCAATGAATACATAAACTAAAGACATAGAGACTCCCTGCTAGTCCCCTGTACAGATGGACCCTCAGTCTTCCCCAGGTACAGTGTCATTGTGATAAAATAGGCACAGATCTTAATTCTGTTTAGTTCTAATTTCAATTTAAAATTTTATTTTGTTATTAAATGCAATTGCTAATAGCAACTACAATGCAAGGATATATTATGTGTCCCAGGCATCATACCAAGAGTTTTTTTTGTTACAAATTATCTCAATTATGTTAGTTAATTCTCACAGTACCCCATGAGGTAGCTCTTGTTATCTCTGTGAGGTATTGGGAAGATTTGTGTACATGCTGGGACCTCAAACTTCTGGTGGAAAGACATAGACACCGAATTCTCTAAGTAGCAAAGGACAGAATGTACTGGACAGCCACAGCTGTCCACCCTCACCCATATTTATCAGTCCTTCCCCCCACCAACACACCACCCACCCCCTTCAGTCAAGGCCTCTAGTTAGTGCCTCTGTTCTATTTCCATGACATGGCAGGTCCTGAGCCTGGTTCAAAATCACCCAGTACCTGCTGCCTGCCTCCTGGTGTGGCGTGGGTGCAAGTGCAATGGACACTTGGACATTTCTGCCATGCTCACTTCCATCCCCTCCCCTAGCTGACAAACATGGGATTCAGCAGAATGGAAGTTGAAGGAGCAGTAGAGCTTTGGTCCAGCTCCAAGGTTCTCTCTTCTAGTTCCTGTCCCGTGACCATAGCTCCTTTTCTGTGGGCCCTTCTTAGTGTGTTTGCACGTTACCTCCTCTGCCTAATATTTCTCAGTGCTTAAATCCTATCTGCCTCAATGACTTGCTTCTGTGGATTTTGGTCTATGTTGCAACCCTTGCAATGGACATAGAACTTGGCCAGCTTTGCCTCATGGAACCTCCTCTTCTACCTCATCAACTTTTCTCTTCTGGGCCTGCCTTCCTCAATGATGACCCATAAACTCTTGGGGCTTGGGTCTGAACTAGTTTTTATAAGAATAGCCTGAGGCCACAGCTCCACCCTGTCCTTTGTTCTCCTTCTTCAAGCTCTTAGATAACTTCTGGGTAAACTCACTATAATCTCATTCCTTCAATGTCAAAGTATGGATGAAAATTTCTATGATACCTCCTGACCCTCATTTGCTATCCCTGAGTCTCATTTAGAAAATGGGAGTAATGACTGTTCTCATTTCAAGAGGTTGTTTTGAGGACTGTATTTAAAAATGTGCAAAGTGACCCCTGGCATGGTGCCTGGCAGTTGCTAACTCACTGTCCCCACCTGCTGTGGCTATGTCTGCACGTGTGCAGAGGCTGCCCATCTGCAAACCACCCTCCTGAGCATTTCCTATGAGGACACACACTTGCATTCCTCACCAAAATTGACCCATCCTGGGGTCAGGCCACTCTCTGCCTCCCAAGGTAAGAGCTGCCGGTCTGATTGGCAGTGGGTTGTTGGAGAGCCACAGGATGTCATGGTCAGCAAAGTATCTCAGATTGGGGTTGAAGACTCTGATTCTGGTTCTGATTCTGACACTTAGAATAGGGATGAGACCTTGTGAAAGTCATGTGTCCTCACTAGATCCCCATTTATGAAATGAGGGAGTTGGGTCAGTTAACCTTTATTGTCTGTTCAGCTCTGGTGACTCTGCCTGCTTCCTAGAGACTGCTGGGCTGTGTGTGACCTTGATGGTCTGCCATAGCCTCTCTCAGGTTGAGTGCTGACAAGACTGAGCCCCACTTTTTTGTTCTCTCTGGGCTAGTACAAACTCCTTAGGAACTAGTGGGTTTTGTCTAGAAGATTTTCAGCCCTGATTTCTGCTCCTGACATTATCTCTCTGATGTTGTGTCTGCTTCCCTAAATGCCTTATTTATCCACATTCCCTCCCTTTCTGAGGAAACTTAACTACCCCATTGCCTTAATTACAGTCTTACACAGCACATTCCTCAGGTTAACTAACTGTGTAGACCAAGGGCTGTCATTGTTATCTCTTGCAAACGAGAGAAACAGTAACCAGTTGGAGGGCTCTTCCCCCTAATACACACACACACACACACACACACACACACACACACATACACACACACACAAATATAAACCTTCACACATTCCAATAGCCACTGCTTTTCTTTGTTTGATGATTGTCTTCTTGAACTTTGGGAAGACTAATGTAACAGAACGTTTTCATATATGTGTTGTGATCCCTGGACTCTGCCTGCACAGGTCTTTGAGCCTATTTCTGGCCAAAAATCTGCTTTCCTATTTTCTAGAAGCTATAAGCAGATCTAAAACATCTGAAGCTCTTATCATTGGGAGTGAGCTCTTTTG